ACTGCACTACCGACCAATCACGCGACCAGTACTCGACGTCACTACCGAATAAGATTCAAAACAAACAGCAATTTTTATGAAAAAATATATTTTATAATACTTACGAATGAAAAGTGATGCCGTGGGTTTTATTTTTAATTCTTGAGCAATTTGAGCACTTTTTTAAAACACACTTAGGCATTGTTTTATCATATAAACACAAAATATAAGCAATATTTCTTTTTGGCGTTCACATGTACGTCGTTTGCATGTCAAGTTGTGACTAAAGCGATTAGGGTCGTGGACCACAATTCATGCGGATCACTTTTGTGAGGCTAGTGCCGTATCTACCATTTTTGTTTTAATCTAAGGCCGTATACAGAAAGAAAGCCGAAAGCCGATCGGCGCCGATCAGCGCCGACACGCGCTGGTCCGAATAATAAATAATTTGTATTTGAATTATTATCCTTAGATTAAATCAATCTAAGTTATAATCTTTTTATAAATCTAATAACTTTATCTTTTATTAACTAAGCGCTAAAATTATTTGTTTCGTACTTACCGAATGGTGACAACAAGTCTTTCTTCTGGAAGGATTGGTTGTTTATGCCAATTGCCCCAATTTTTCATCAAACGGTTTTTCACTAAATCCAAAATGTAATAAAATGTTTCTGGAATCATTGTTGTATATGTATAAAATCTTTGTTCATCAAATTTAATTTTTTTTACAAATAAATGATGGTATTCTCCGAAACGTTTCCTTTCTCTATTTATAGGATGTATAGCTGTTTTTCGCATTTTTAAATAAACATTTTCTAACAAAACCAAATCATCGTCCGATGAGTCCGACATTTTGCTTGATCTGCTTTAATCGGCTTCCTTTATGTAGGAAGGATCGGCGCCGATAAGCGCCGATCGGTTTTCGGCTTTTTTTCTGTATACGGCCTAAGGCTGATACAGCAGTTCTAGCTGCCACACCAGCCATCCTCACCCTGCCGGCCTGCATGCTGCTTCTTCACGCCTCTTTTAAAGGATCCCAGGAGGGAACACGTGAGCGGACAGAGCATTCCATTTACGGATAGTACGACAAAGAAATGAGTAACCAAATTTCTTTGTACGCGATACATAAAGGATCATGCTCGAAGAACAATTTCTTCTTGTCAATGAGGCAACCCTTATGCATCACATTCCGCAAATCTTGGTTGTTGATTGCGTTACATTTCTGCTGCTTTCGCCTCTCCCCTTTGCTCATAACGTCACTTTATGTAATAAACAGTTACATATATATTTATGAACTTAGCGTACTTGCGTGTTACTTAATAATTTGAAATCTACAACAACGAAGTCCCATGTCTCTCAAACAGCCAAAGACTCATTTGCGTTATTGGGATTTTGGGCTAGATAGAGCCTAGAAGTTTGCATTCGGTAGACAGAAGTAAGACTTCGCTACTTGAATTTCCGTTTTTTTGGTATAGGTATACATAGAGGCGGCGCCGATATCACTAGTTTATTTATTTTAGTAAGTGTAATTAAAATACTTGTACACAACTCAATATACTTACGACAATACACACCGCTCCTGATTCATTAGCGCACGTTAAAATTAATTAAAATATATGTTTATGTGAAAACTATGTGAAAAAACTGATGAAAAAGAAACTGGAAGTACAAAAGAATAATTCATAAATCAACAAATCTTTAATGTTTAAAAAAATGTACGCGTGTACATAGAATAGATGTTTTTTGACGTTTGGACAAGCTGTTTTTATTTTAATGCTACTTTTTGACAACATTTGCTTTGAATATATAAATATTTATTTGCTTAAGGCATAAATCGCTAGTTTGTTTCCATCTAATAAGTACTGGAATTACGTTTAAACTATTAGCTATTATCGACCAAAATATTTACTTTTCCGATTGTCAACGAATGTAAAAAAAGATTTAATGGTATTTAAATTATTACGTTTATGCGAAGGCTTAGGTCGTTTCAGATAAATCGATAAACATCTTGAATAAAAATCGTTAATGACGAAAACTAAACATAACTGTTAACTTCCTGCTTAGAACGTCTTAAGGGAAATACGTAACTACCTATATCTATATTTATTGCAGCACTGGTGTGGATCCTGGCACGATTCCCTTAACTTAAAACTTTTAACATCAGTCTCTCCTTTTCATTTTGTATAGAGAAAGACAAGGATATAGTGTTGTTAAATTTAAGTTTAGGTTTAGAGAATCATGTCAGAATCGACACCATACGTAAAAATAAAAGTTTGTTTGACGACCTCCGTGGCCGAGTGGGTTGTACGCCGGGTTTCATGGTGTCGCCGACTCGAGGACAGATTTTAGTGTGATGAATACGAGCATTTGTACTGTAGTCATGGATGTTTAATATGTATTTCAACATTTAAAAGCAACTAGATGTTCCCGGAGTCTTTAAGCTAAGTAATATACTTTAATACAATAAGAAAGTATAATCTACAACAATATGGTGCAATATGAACAAATTTCAGAATAATTAAAACAAAAAATATACTATAACAATGAACTTAAAACTAAATACCTTAAAAAATAAAATATAATAACTAAAATACATTATTAAAAGGAGTCCCTTTAGGCAAGGTTCCGAAGATACTGGCAGCGTTCCCCCTTTGGATAGCTAGACTAATTCTTTGTCCGAGGTAGCTGCCAGCTCTTCGGTCTCCTGTGATGTAGACTAATCTTTTTTCTATTTCTTTAAAAAGCCTTATTGCGCTAGGACCCCACGGATCAAGGGTCTCGACACCGAATGGGACAAAATCATATTCGGAGCCTAGACCCCTGTATTTGCATATGTATTTCTATATAATTATACTTATATATGTACTGTATATGTATTCTATCCGTTACCCTAGCATCCCATAAACAAGCCTTGCTTACTTTGGGGCTAGGCTAATTGGTGTGAGTGTTGGAAATATTTATTTATTTATTTATTATTAATACGTGTTTCCACATTATAAATGAGTTTTAAATGTGTTTGAGTCATGCTTTCTTAGTAGTTCGGCTAATTTTAATGTTGCGATATTTTTTCCCTTTAGAAGAACCTACTAACATTTGGTTGCGCCCTGATATGGTATAAAATGGTTTTTCCGACTTTCAATAATGCCTTATTTGTAACAGGGTTTTATACTTTAAAGAAAAATAGATATACACATGAAATCATCATACAATGCTTGTTGCTGTGTCGCCACCACAATATATAATAAAAATTATAATATTATATCTAATAAGTATGTACAGTGTTTATAACAAAACTCATCCGAAACGGCTTGACAGATCAGCGGGACTATTATGTAAAATTTTCACGCGCGGATCCGATGCGGATCCTACCTACATTTAGGGGACCTTTTCAATAAAAAAATGTTTCAAAGAAGCTCTTCAGTTTTTTTCCTTTAAATATTTTAATTATATTGAGCAATGGTTATATAGTCTACCCCAATATAAATAAACATTTATGTAGAGTAAGATTAAAAAAAAAAGAAAAACTTGGTTACGAGTATTTAGTATTTAAATGATGCCCAGACAGTAAGCTGCCTTGACCTGCCCTATTCTGATCTGATCTACTAAAGCCCTTATAGTAATTACGCCTGTTAAAATTGCAGAAGTGCATATGTACTTCTTATTTATCGTATTACAGAATGACAACTAAGTGTTGATCTTTACTTGAGTACAGTTAGAAAAGGATATCGCTATGTGCTATATATAGCGAGATCCCTTTCTAATTATGCTCAAGACTATATCAATCACTGATAATCTTTCTATAATACGGGCCTTATATATAATGCAAGCTTTAACGACGTAATCTGTTTTGTATCAGCTCTGAGTTAATTAAGATTGAAAGGAATAAAAAAAAACGCATTCACAGTTAGTTATGGTATAGTAAGTCTTGATCTTATTTTTGAAATAAGGCCCACTAGCAGCAAATTTGTTCAATCTCAATTTAATCTAAGTCTCAAATATTGTTAAAAATAATACTACTTATTGAATCAGATATTGTCATTTGAAAGTTATTTTTGTTTAACTTAAATTCAACAAAATAGTAAAAGTTTTTTTTATAAACTCTTATTTATTTATTACATTTTAAATTTGATGATGGGTTATGTTATATTGTGATGTAGATGATTCGATAGTTGGAAGAGCAGATTTATGAGGATCCGAGATCGCGTCGAGATGCAGTCAGGGAGGTCAAATGGGTGGGAAAGACAGGGAGACAGTTTAATTATAGTGAGAGGCAAATGGAAGAGGAGAGAAACGAAACAGAAAACAAATAAAAGGTATAAAGGATTGGAGTAAGAAGAGTGTAAGAGATGAGGTTTAACAATCAATAGTTAACGGTTGGAAGATACAGGCTATGTAGTGTAGGTATGTTGATACACCAAATAAAAGCAAAAGTTCAATGGTCCGAATCGGGCCGCGAGCCGCAACGAATGCACTCGCTATGATAGAGCAGATTATTATGAATCTAATTAGATTCCCGTTACACGCATGCGCGCTGATCGAACCGTAGCGAGCTTTTTGCGTGAATTAATTTTGTAATAAAAGCTTAGAAACAATATGTTTGAAAATATTTTTTATTTTTTTGTTAAAGAAAAAAAATATAATATTTACTATGAATCATCAAGTATTTATTGATTTGCGTAAATATCGAAACCACTCACACACACGCCCAATTGTAAATATTAATTTATAGTTTATTCACTATTACTACCATTAACAACAAAAGTTAAAGTACGTTAGTTAAACGTATCTTTTTATTTCAATAAAATTTATTTTTATTTCAACATTGTGTTATTGTAATGATTAGGTACTATTTTCGTAATTTTACATGGGTGAAAATTCTTGCAATAGGTAAAGGGAAACTTTAATATTATTCAAGTCATGCCAATTTAACTCTAACAAAAATATGATTGTTGGTGCAGTGAAAAAGATGACACGGATAGCCTCACTCGTCCGTCTACTTTCTTTTAAATGTGGTCACTTACTTGTATTTGAGGTGCTTGATGCGATCACAGCAGCGAAAATCAAAAAGTACGTTTGCAGCTTCCCCATGACTCCAAAAAGTATAGAAGAAACACTCGAGCCTTGGTAAGAACTTAAAAAAAATATATAAAATATTTTTTTGAGATAAACTTTTTAAAGAAAATATCTTGTGCGCGCGTCCGTCGCGGACGGCTAAAGTGAGCGCAATGGTGTGAACTCTCTTCCGAACACAGCTCCTTTCCATTAGACGAAGCCGGCGCAAATTGTTTTTTTTATTTTTGTTTGCAAATAGGATAACTATGGATGGTACCTTTTCAACTACATAAATTTAAGCCTGTTTTTAAATGGTTTGTTAAGAAATAACCGGCATGTGCATAATAATAGTACTTAGGTACAAATTAATAAGTCTCTAATCTCAATCTGTGTATTGATGTAAGTAATTTATATTTTTGTATTCATTTTGAATTAAAAGCACATATAATGGGTTGGTTTATGAATTGAAACTCCTGTTCAATTTTTATTGGTGTATTACTACTCAGCAATCGGAAAGAAATAAAATTCATTGAAACAATTGAGCGATTCATAGAAGTTGTTTTTACAAGTAATATGTAAAATCATAAAAACTAATATATTATATTACTATTCTTATAACATATTCATATGTTACAATGCAATAAGTATTAGTATTTTATCTATTTCCTTTAACACTTTACTCATCAAAAGAGTCGGAGGTTTTTTGAACGTTTGACCGAAGTTTAGTAATTTTTATACTTTTATTCTTTTGTTAATAATAACTACACCCCCGGACACATCTATCGGTCCACTTAAGTTTCATCGGTCTGTAGCAAAAATATATGTTAGGTTGAGCAATAATAATATATTTAAAAAAACACACGAAATAGATGGTTTATAAATCAGCTTCTCAATTTTTGCTCAATATAACTTTATTTTTGGCTAGGGCCGTCCAATCAATTTGATTTATTAGTGACTAAATAAAAAAAGACCTTTGTATAAATTTAACACGTCATAACGATAAAATAAAATATCAATTGATAAAACCTGTAGTTTGCGGAAATGATACATGTTGCTTCCACTCTTTTGATGAGTGTGTTTTACATTAAGATTTACATACCGTGTTCACCGGTTTTGATTTATAGGTCAGTACAAAAATAGACCTATCGTATATTGGTCGGTATCTTAAACAATAGAGAAGAAATTCTTAGAAATAAACACAGACCTTATTACCAAATAAAGTTAGGCATGCGCTCAACACGAGTGTAAGAATCAAAATCATATAAAATTTAAATAAACAAGGTTTAAAAAGGTAATTTTTTTGGAGTAACACCGAGATCGATTTTTCAATACATTTTTGCATATTTAAAATTACAAAAACAACTTTAAAAAATATTTGAGAGAAATTAAGGGAATATATTTGTGGTTCTTATACCCAAGTTATCTACATAGTCTATAATCGTGAATCAACATAAAAGCGAAATAAAAACGTACTTTTTGTTTGATTTAGTTGCACTCATTAAAACATTTCACATACTAAAAACTCACTATCACGACTTGTGACCGTCGACGAAAAAGAGTCTGAAACTTAAAATTATAATGTTTTACCCAGGTTTCTATGTATAGAAATCAAACCAATATTTATGTTCAACACATTTGCTCAAAAAATTCATTTACGAAGGTTGTATACATTGTTCGAAAATTCAAAATTACGGGCGATACAGCGGAGCGTGCGGTAAAATTCATTATATACGCACGCTCCTATACATGGCACCGTGCGTATTCTTAAAGGTTTTATTTTAATACGAAAAAGACAAAGGGACAAAAGATTCAGTTCTAATTTTCACCACCCGCACGTGGCGCAATTGGGAAATGCGCGCCATTTTCTTATTAGAAAAAGATTGCTTCATTACTGAAATTATGTATAATATTTTTATTTTTTATATGACATTAGTATTACAAACCTGTGACTATGGTAAACACTTACATTCGTCTATTCGTTTCTAATAACCAACTTATCGCAATAATATCATAAATAACTATTCGACCCGCTAGACGTTTGTCGTGTACAGTAAAAATATAAATTGGTCTAATACTAATCATTTACGTAAGATATGAAGATTCAGAAGTACTCATAACAAAGAGAAGTCACAACAAATCAAAGCTCATCAATCCTTAATAATCTTAAAATATTAATTTAACTTGAAAAACATTTGTATCTGACGCACTCAGTGTTGTTTTATACTATTGTCATCCCAAAGAAAGCATCAGCGAAGTGACAGTATTTATTTTAAATAAACCTAACAGTTATTTGACGTCTCTGAGTGGAATAATTAGTAACATTCATTAAATGTACTTATATCATTACGTACCGATAAACAGCTGCTACAAAATAATCGAAATCATTCACTAAGTAAAAAAGAAATAAATACAATATTAAATATTTGGTTGTTTTGTTTATTTGCTATTCGCCTCCACCTATCCTAGAGGAACTTGCATCGTTAACGTACATTTCCATTTATATTATGTACTAGCGGCCACCCGCGACTTCATCCGCTTTAATTTTAATTTTTGAGAATCCCTCAGGAACATATTTTTTTCGGTATAAAAAGTATTCTATGTCTTAATCCAGGTCCTAGACTATATGCGTACCAAATTTAATCTAAATCCGTTCAGTAGTTTTTGCGTAATTAAGTAACAAACATAGGAACTTTCACATTTATAATATAGTAGGATAAATTACGTTATATCGACACGGAGAAAAAGTTCGCCTTACCTTCGCTTACACACTGGTTTATTTTTACTACAACTTCAGACACACTTTTAATATTATACCTATTGGTTTGATGTAATCAAAAGTTAAAGAATTCATCCTCGTCAAATGGTCCCTCGTTTGTTTCTGGGCTTTTCAAACTAGACAGCTTTAAGCCTTGTTCTTGCATCTCATCCAACTTGGGCAATTCCTGTTTAATCGTTTCTTCTACGTTAATTTTATCTAGTTCTTGTTGCATCTTTTCTTTAATTGGATTTTCCAAAGCGTCCATTATCTGATACCTCAATAAGTTGGGTAAGATATTAACAACTAATTCGATGACATAATCCAAAGTGCCAGCACCGTCGCAGCGCACCTGTATGTTACCCACTTCGAGATCCAAATCTCTAAATTCAGGTTTTTTTCTTGTGTCCAGGGGTTGAGCGAGAATCAGCCTTCCACTCACGTATTCAACTGAGAATGAAGCGGTTCCCGCTCTTGACATCAGACCACTAATAGCAATGATTTCCCACTGTGTCATCCCTTCAAGTTTCTGCGTGCCGATGCTGAAGTCAGCGATCAACGTATTGTTTTCCATCTTGAGAGTTATATTCCCCACTCTTTGGAATGACGACAATCCCGTCACCCAAGTGTGCGTCAGTTTCACAGAAAATACGCTAATTGTATTGTTTGAATCCTTTATTTCGTACGGGTCGAAATTCATTTCGCGTATTTTTTTTCTAGTATCCGCTATGACCATGTCTAGTGGTGATATAGAGTTAGGAAATTGCATATCACCCGCGACTTCATCAAGTTTGGTATTAATGGCAGTCCGAGCTTTAACATAGGCTTCTTTAAGAATGTACGGCTTGATCGTGTCGAAAACGAACGTGCCGACGGAGTTGATGACACCTTGGAACATGCTCCCGAAGAAACCGAGATTCTCGAAGTTTACTGCTATGGTGCTGAATGAGATATCAATATTTATGTTCTGTGCCCTGAGTTTGCCGTCTCTTTCGACGCCTAAGTTAGCTCGGGCTTTGATTAGAAGTCCTGTAACGTCTACCGTGAATGGTCCTTGAGCTCTGTTCAACCAAGTTGACATTGTGTAATTACCACGTGCTTGTAGCTTGTCAATAGCCATTACAGCTTGTACCTGAAGATAAAGAATGTATTTGTTAAAAACTAATTATTAACTAGATGACCCGGTGTACTTCGTATCGTATCAATTATCTTAAAGTGGATCCGAATCTACCGTACTAGAAGGAACGAACGTCAAATGTTTGACAGAAAAGTAGGTAGAATAGTTTATATGGGAAAATAAAATAGTTTCTCGCAATTTTTCCATATTTATTCACCATTTCAACCTTCCTTGGACTCCGACAAACATTGAAAAACCCAAATAAAGTTAAATCGGCCCAGCCATTCCCGAGTTTTAGATTAAAGAAAGGTAACAGGTACATTAGGGAAAATAAAATTAAAAAAAGCAAGAGAGATTTTCATTTCTTAAATAAATTAATTTCGAACTATTGTTTTAAAAGTTTTAAGTAGCGAAAGAAAGCTACCTTTGCCATTCATTGATTTTTCAGAACGTTACGAAAAGAAAGAAATAAAAATGAATCATTATCATACCTCCATTGCACCAATTTCTGCATTGATGTACACAATTCTGAACTTGCTGATGCCGTAGACAGCCGTGTTCTTGAAGTACAGTGTTGTTCCGAACGTGAGGGTCTGCTTCATGTCGGGCACGGCGTAGGGCTCCGGCACGGAAGCCCCGGGCATGCCGATAGGGTTCGGCTGCTTAAAGTGCTCCAAGATCTCGAGGATGTTATTGCTGAGTTTCTTTTCCCCATTTATGAGGTTCTCGTCGCTCGTATCTAATTCTTCTGGGATATCTGCAAATTATAAATACATTGTAGGTTTTCAGTCTTCCTGGCTAGACGGTGGAAAAATCGGCCGAGTCGGACTTCGCACATTGAAGTATCCAGAAAAAATATAATTTATCTATAATTGGTATTTGTTAGTAAAATATACGTATATAAACATTATTACCAAAATTTATAAGATGAACCAGGAAGTTAAAATGTTATTTGTAATAAAGATATGTAAAAATAAGCTGACTTTGGTGGCTTTTACAGGACATAAGTCTTTCTGTGTTCTGTAGCGGCTTCTCATTTATCTATTTTTTTATTTTTTTGACATAATAAATAGAATATTACTCAATCATATGTTTTCAAGATAAAAACCGCAATGTTTATTTATTCAACGCGCTCAATAATGATATCACCACACTCGATAGAGTTGGACAATTTTTTTTGCAGCCCGTTTTGTGGGGAACCCAAACAAAGGTATGAACATCGTCAAAAATATTATGTGACAATTTGAAGACATTAACACAAATGGTGACCAAGAATGAATCGGAGAGACCAAGAACTGGCCGAAGGAAGGTAAGAAGGCAACCTAAGCGCCGGACTGATAACATCACCAAAATAGTGGACAAGATCTGAATGCGCGTAGGAGGAATTGGCCCGCATGAAGATACCATGAAGTGGTTTATACCCGACCCGAACCCGGGCTTATAAAGAAGAAGAAAAAGATGCTTCGCCGAGATATACTTATGACTAAGGGCCTAACAATTTTACTCCTTCCGCGATTTGTTTTGTTTGAAATTTTGGAAAACTGTTAATGTCATATCGACACACGCTTCAATTTTGAATTGCTGTAGGCTTCAACCTACCTACATGTTAATAAAGAACAATGGCCAGATTTCTATATGAGCTGGACTTGACTTTTATTTTTGATGTCCCTTAATGAACTATAGTGAGAATGGTTTGTTTTTATGTTGTAAATACTATCCCGTTTGAAAATCTTATATAAATAGCCACGATTTTTTAAAATATCGCCACTAATACTTTTGAGGTTAGAATCAACAAGTACTTTTTACCCGACTGTGGCGAAGCCCAAAATGTAGTAGCGAAAAGCGAAGAGGGTAATTGGCGATCTCATAGCTATTTTATTCGATGCCTCATAGAAAAAAAATAGGACTGAACTAAAAAGTGGTTCTTAGTTCAGTCCTATTTTGGGGCATTTTTCTGGCTGTGCCGGCTAAAGAGTAATATGTTAGACGAGACTAGATGCCTGCTATCTTTCACTTACTGACTAATCGAGTCGAAGTAATAATGGTACCCATCATAAGGTAATAATGGTGGGTATGGGGATAAATGAAAGATAAGTCTTGACAAAAATATTATTTAGTTATCAGTCCGTAAATCAATGCCAAGGTCAAAAGAACAGAAGGTAATCCAAAATAGTACAATCACAATTATTCACAACAACAATCTTAGCGAAAGCTAGCAGTCAATCGATGGCGCCGATCGATGACACATAACGTTCCGTTATCTGCATAAACCGAGCAATTAAACAAAAAGCTCATACTCAATTTGGATTTACTTAATTACTTTTATGATAAAAGTTCTTTAAATACCTAATAACACTAGTTGATCAGATGCCTAACTATTAATTGAATGACGGTTAACAAGTATTTAGAAAAAGAAATAATTTATACATAGTCTATGAATATTAAATCATTTCATGTGCGAAATTAATCGTCAATGGGTGCGTTCTGAACATGTTATTCCAAATAATTTTAAATAAATAACCAAAACACAAAATGGATATTTTGCTTATATTTTCTAAAACCTTTAAAAATAAAGGATTTTTTGATATATATGGCATATTGGGACGTCATCGTTTCCTCATCAGGTACGATTTGGCCATCCTTCTTTGATCTCTCATCAATACACTCGTGTTACTACATTTGATCTTTCAGATAATTTGATTTTATATAAGCGCATTCAATACGAGTATGTATCTATGATTAGTATTGCTCGTCATAAAAAAATGTACCTATGTCCTTTGTGTGGCCATCAAAAGTGTGACTGGGGATCTCTTGGCAATATTGATTAAGTATAAAAAAAATTAAGTAAAGTAAACTATAAGTAAAAAATAATATAATATCTCCTTTTTCTTAATGTGTCATAATAAGTATAGCCAGCTATTGAATATTGCTATGGAGAATTGACTACTTAGTGACGTCTGTTAAGCTAGCATGGCAAAGTGAGCAGAATCGTTTAAAATAAAGTGCATCAATTAGTGCTTATTTAGTGCTCATTTAGTGCCAAAACCGGAAATTTAATGCTCTCATAGTTAAGCAAAAAATTAGAACACTGCCAGCTTTTAATTAAGCTAGCAGTGTATTCCCTGAAACGCCTATATTAACGCGGTATAGAACTAAAGCAATGCATAGGGAATTTAGTGCTTAATGAGTGCTGGCAGTATCTGATGAAAATTTTGGAAAATAAAAAATATTTTATTTTTTATCAATAAAAACTGCTAGTATGAGAGTCTGAGCAAGTGACCGGTTCGAATACATCACTCTGGATCGAAGATCTATGATAATCAACGGTTAATAATTTAGTGCTCAATGAGTGCTGCCAGTATGTGATAAAAAATAAGGAATTTTTATTTTTTAAAATTTTTATTAATAAAAACTGCTAGTTTGACAGTCTGAGCAACTGACAGGGTTGAATACATCACTCTGGATCGAAAATCTATGATAATCAACGTTTAATAATTTAGTGCTCAATGAGTGCTGCTAGTATGTGATAAAACATTTGGATTTTTTTATTTTTTATTAATATAAACTGCTAGTTTGACAGTCTGAGCAAGTGACAGGGCTGAATACATCACTCTGGATCGAAGATCTATGATAATCAACGGTTAATAATTTAGTGCTCAATGAGTGCTGCCAGTATGTGATAAAAAATTAGTTTTTTTTTTTAATTTTTTATCAATATAAACTGCTAGTATGACAGTCTGAGCAAGTGACCGGTTCGAATACATCACTCTGAATCGAAGATCTATGATAATCAACGGTTAATAATTTAGTGCTCAATGAGTGCTGCCAGTATGTGATAAAAAATTAGGAAATTTTATTTTTTTTAAATTTTTATTAATAAAAATTGCTAGTTTGACAGTCTGAGCAAGTGACAGGGTTGAATACATCACTTTAGATCGAAGATCTATGATAATCAACGGTTAATAATTTAGTGCTCAATGAGTGTTGCCAGTATGTGATAAAAAATTAGGATTTTTTTTTAATTTTTTTTTTATAAATATAAACTGCTAGTATGACAGTCTGAGCAAGTGACTGGGTTGAATACATCACTCTGGATCGAAGATCTATGATAATCAACGGTCAATAATTTAGTGCTCAATGAGTGCTGCCAGTATGTGATAAAAAAATAGGTAAATAAATAAAATAAATCAATATTTCCAACACTCACACCAATTAGCCTAGCCCCAAAGTAAGCACTATAAGGCTTGTGTTATGGGATGCTAGGGTAACGGATAGAATACATAAACTGTACATATATAAGTATATTTTTATAGAAAATACATATTAAACATCCATGACTGGAGTTCAAATGCTCGTATTCATCACACAAACATCTGCCCCCACCGGGACTCGAACCCGGGACCTCTCGAGTCGGCAACACCATGAAACCCGGCGTACAAACCACTCGACCACGGAGGTCGTCAAAGGTTTTTTTTTTATCAATATAAACTGCTAGTATGACAGTCTGAGCAAGTGACTGGGTTGAATACATCACTCTGGATCAAAGATCTATAATAATCAACGGTTAATAATTTAGTGCTCAATGAGTGCTGCCAGTATGTGATAAAAAATTAGGAAATTTTATTTTTTTTAATTTTTTTTATAAATATAAACTGCTAGTATGACAGTCTGAGCAAGTGACTGGGTTGAATACATCACTCTGGATTGAAGATCTATGATAATCAACCGTTAATAATTTAGTGGTCAATGAGTGCTGCCAGTATGTGATAAAAAATTAGGTTTTTTTTTTATCAATATTAACTGCTAGTATGACAGTCTGAGCAAGTGACTGGGTTGAATACATCACTCTGGATCAAAGATCTATAATAATCAACGGTTAATAATTTAGTGCTCAATGAGTGCTGCCAGTATGTGATAAAAAATTAGGAAATTTTATTTTTTTAAATTTTTTTTATAAATATAAACTGCTAGTATGACAGTCTGAGCAAGTGACTGGATTGAATACATCACTCTGGATCGAAGATCTATGATAATCAACGGTTAATAATTTAGTGCTCAATGAGTGCTGCTAGTATGTGATAAAACATTTGGATTTTTTTATTTTTTATTAATAAAAACTGCTAGTTTGACAGTCTGAGCAAGTGACAGGGTTGAATACATCACTCTGGATCGAAGATCTATGATAATCAATGGTTAATAATAAAAAAATAGATAAAAAATTAAAAAAAATAAAATTTCCTAATTTTTTATCACATACTGGCAGCACTCATTGAGCACTAAATTATTAACCGTTGATTATCATAGATCTTCGATCCAGAGTGATGTATTCAACCCAGTCACTTGCTCAGACTGTCATACTAGCAGTTTATATTGATAAAAATTTAAAAAAAAAATCCTAATTTTTTATCACATACTGGCAGCACTCATTGAGCACTAAATTATTAACCGTTGATTATCATAGATCTTCGATCCAGAGTGATGTATTCAACCCTGTCACTTGCTCAGACTGTCAAACTAGCAGTTTTTATTAATAAAAAATAAAAAAGTCCAAATGTTTTATCACATACTAGCAGCACTCATTGAGCACTAAATTATTAACCGTTGATTATCATAGATCTTCGATCCAGAGCGATGTATTCAACCCGGTGCCTTGCTCAAACTATCATACTAGCAGTTTTTATTGTTAAAAAATTTAAAAAAATAAAATTTCTAATTTTTTATCTCATACTGGCAGCACTCATTGAGCACTAAATTATTAACCGTTGATTATCATAGATCTTCGATCCAGAGTGATGTATTCATCCCAGTCACTTGCTCAGACTGTCATACTAGCAGTTTATATTTAAAAAAAAAATAAAATTTCCTAATTTTTTATCACATACTGGCAGCACTCATTGAGCACTAAATTATTAACCGTTGATTATCATAGATCTTCGATCCAGAGTGATGTATTCAACCCAGTCACTTGCTCAGACTGTCATACTAGCAGTTTTTATTGATAAAAAATAATATTTTTTATTTTCAAAAATTGTCATCAGATACTGCCAGCACTCATTAAGCACTAAATTCCCTTTGCATTGCTTAAGTTCTATACCGCGTTAATATAGGCGTTTCAGGGAATACACTGCTAGCTTAATTAAAAGCTGGCAGTGTTCTAATTTTTCGCTAAACTATGAGAGCATTAAATTTCCGGTTTTGGCACTAAATTAGCACTAAATAAGCACTAATTGATGCACTTTATTTGAAACGATTCTGCTCACTTTGCCATGCTAGCTTAACAGACGTTACTTAGTGAATTATGTGAATTTGCTTACATTTTAATAAAACTTTGTTTAAAAATACTAAAATCAATCTTATTTAAAATTATTTGTCTTCACCAATTCAAATAGTACCTAAGTCAAATAAACCTTAATTTGAGTATTATTTTTCTAAGTTCCCTTTGTTATTAAATTATGTATTCTGTGGTAATGCAGTATGTACGAGTATGACGTAATATGCACTTCCAAACCAAAGCAATGTTATTATGCACTTTTTGTTACGTTCGAGGTAGGTATGTGGATAAATTTTTTGAAAGCACCATTATTTACAAATTACCTAATTTATGTTTTTGTAGTATTTACCAAAACTCACGAAAAATTTGATGAAAAGACTTAAAGATGGCTATTATCTAATATACTTAGATCCAATTATCAACATTCATAAACGTACTAAAAGGAAGAATTGTCACTTCACCATCACTATTCACATGTTCATTGATCGACACTCACGTGGGAATTACACTAACCTTGACTTAATCCTTTGCAGACGCAAACAGTAAGAAAGAAGATTTTGAGCAACATGGCGTTGGTACCGATGCCTTGTTCACAATGGCACAATTCCCTCTGGGAACGGGGGTCACGGCTTATCTGTGACCGGATACGTCATTTATAGTTAATTATCAGCATTGAACTGTGTATCCCGCGTTTCGATACACAATATCTTATTCGATATTCATCCTGTTTTAATTGAAGTATGCTGATTGGTCGACATATTTGGCATTTAAAATAACAAAATTAAGGTTGGTACCTAATTAAGAAATTAGAAATTTACTAGGGTGAATTATGTTGAATAGCCTATTAGCAAATGGACTGTCCTGATACAGATTCAAATTCATGTTATTTTATTAGTGTTAGTATATTTACCTAAATGTCTCGGAAAAAGGCCAGTAGATACATAATGTTTGATATTTTAATTATGTATCATAAAGTACTGTTGTTTGAAATTGTGCGTCTAGATATTATAGGGAAAGGGAGGGCAATACGGATCTCTTTACTTCAATGATGAAGAAAACGTATTAAAGTTGACAATCGCATTCAATTTTTATGGTATTCATTATATTTTTATAATTTTCAATATTAATATCTAAATCAACATGGGGAAATTTTAATCATAACCCGAGCCCGAGATCGAAAACTAAGGGGATTTGACTAAACTTGCTATCCTATCGGGTAAATTAGTTCAGGGTATTGAGCGAATTCATTGATTGGGATATGGAATACTATTGTTCTTGACAATCATCGTAAAAGTTTGGTTTCCTCTCAAGATAAGAAAATAATGCTTCATAGTCCCCAGTCTTTGTAGCATTGCAGCCGGAGCATTGAGTTTAGTCATGATGGCACCCATAGATGTCTGACTAGCCTCATCCAAGGCCCGATCTATTTTTTTTGATCTTTCTATAGTTTTTAATCATCTGAAAAAGTACATATCAGAATATTCAGAAAATCTGGTAAGATAAATATCGGGTAATAACAGGGAGGTACTTAGGGTACTTAGGGTTATATTCATTTTGCCCGACTACTTCTCAGAAAAAAAAATATTATATGAAACGTCAACAATTAAATAAAGTTTCGTGCATTAACCCGTGAAAAACTAGTTTTATTTATTGAGTGATGTGAGTGAAAACGTAAGAAATAAATATATTATATGCCGTTATAAAAATAATAAGTATAACACCTGTAAATTTACATAAGCGGTGAATACGGAAGCGACTATTAATTAAAGATGATGACGATTTATGAGGCAAAATATATGTATACTTATTATCTCTGAATATTAATTAAGTGATGAAAGCTTGTTTGATTTATATTTATTAACTCGAGTATTTGCTCTTAAAAAGCTAGGTTTGGATTGTCATGCGTTAAGACGTCTAACTTCGCGGCCTTTAGTGTAAGAGATGTTCAAATGAAAAAATATGGGACTGATTTGTGTTGCCCGCTATATCCATCTTACCCTCCCTTCCCCCCTACCCCTAGAGAAGCTTCCAGGCACAAAACAAAATAACAAAATCCACTTATTACCTGTTTATTATATTACATTACCGGTGTTCTTTGGTTAAACAGGCGATCACTGTTAATAATAAATTCTAGTGTACTCTTTATGAAACTAAATATGAAGATTGTTCGAGATTTGTGTTGTACTTACCTTAATTTACATAATTTGTTTACAATTTACCAGGAAAACCCAATTTAACAAACAAAATCCAATTAACCTAGTCGGCCTTGCCATTAGTAATGAAAATATTATTTAATAGCATGCCGTACAAATAAGAAAATATGTTGTTTAATAGGCAGTTCGCAGGTACTACCTTGGTAAACATAAACATTCGCGCGTAGGCTGTTGTATACATTTGATATTGACTATTGGACATACATACTCGTAATATTAGGTAGAACGCAATAACTCCTATTATGGCTATTTAAAAATATCGTAGTAATAAAAAACTGGGATAAGTACTAGATGTGTTAATGGAAGAGCACAGCATAAGTATTTTCTTCTAAAATTTTGACTTTAATGCTACTAGCGGATCTGCATCAGCTTTAAAGGAATGAAATGTACCTATTTAGTCCAGCCATATGTTCTGTTACAAATGAAAATGCATTTTTTTTAATGAAGTAATGTAATATTATCAAATTTTATACCTACATGTTTATTGAAGTCTCAGCGAGAAATAAAAAAATATTCTATTCGAAATGACCACCTTTGGCTTTTTTTACAGGCCTTTAATCTGTTTGTCCATGAATCTATGGATTTGCGCACTATACCCAAATGAAATTTCGCCACTGCTTGCTCCAAAGATTTTTTAAGAGACTCAATGTCGCCGTGTCGTTTAGATCAGGCCATGCCCCTAAAACTGATAATATAATTTCAAGTGTAAAGGGTTTAGGTTTCGGCTAGATGAGGGCCAGTCTTCAGCTCTTATAAAGTCCGGAACATTGGTTTCAAGCTAGGCTTGAGCCCGATACTCATTAGCGAGCTGTAACCGTAATTAAAGAGCATAGTGTGTACGTGGTTCGCTAACCTGCTGCGAGTGGTACGCGTGCGGTTTGCAGCGAGCCGACGTTTACAACTGAGCTTTAAGCATACACACTAGAACCTCGTACTGTATCACGCATGTTACGGTTACAGCGCGCTAATGAGTACCCGGCTTAAGGTACTTCGTGCCTTGTGACCAGGTGCAGAATGCTGCTGGAAATCCACGGTATGTTTTTTAAAAAGTGTATTGCTGAGAGGTTTCACAACAAGATCCAGGACTGTATCTTGATACACTTTGGCGGAAGTTTTCACTTCTTTTTTCGTAAAATGAAGTTTTGACCCCTTGATAAGACACGCCCCACCAAACCATCACCGACGCAGGATGATGACCACGCTGTGCCTTTCCGACCACTTGAGCAGCTTCTTTAGATATGTGAGCGTACACTTTATCATTTTGCTTATTGTAGTGTTCTTTAACCGTAAAAAACATCGGTAAAGAGGATATTTCACCTGCGTATCGCGACAGAAGGCGTTTTGATCAATCCATTCTCTTTAATTGTAAAGATTGATTTAGGGCATGTCCTCTATATCGACGATAAGGTTAGTTTGGGAACCAAAAACGAAATGACCACACGACGTTTGTCAGGTCGTGTCAGGCTGCGTCAGGCAAATGGGCGCTAGCCCATATAATACATTTACTTTGAATGTTGATGCTAGTGGCAAGTTACATGCCAGATCACGTGTCAGGTTGCTTAGGTGAGTACAACGCCTAAGCTACTAAGAGCTAATAAGACAGAAGCCTTCTGATTAAACATGCGCTTAATGAATTGGCTTGTCGTTATTCAGCTATTCAATTCAATACCGGCATTTAGTTAACGGCCTACGCTGTTAACAAAATTCCTGATTAAGCTAGTTGGCTGCGATATATATAAACGCAATAAAAGAAAGCTTCCGTCACTCAGGATTATTGTAGTGTGTTTTCTATATGTGAAAGAATTTCTAAATCGGTTTACTTCCTATAAACGAAAATTTTCTGTGGATAGATGCAGATTTATTATGACATATCGATTTTTAATATCGTTGCATACCAATACCAAAACTGTTTATAGATGGCCTACTGAGTCGAAAACATTGGTATGGTAAACACACACGCTAAACCAGTCTCATTAGTTTGGACTTAAACTTAGTTGACTTACTTAGTTTTTTTTACTTTACTTTTGGTTAAATAAATAAGTAATTGACAATATCCTGCGAGCACGGTAATGGTTGGCCTATAATATTCGGTAAGTACCTATGTGATGTGAGATATGGTATCCGAGACCTTATCTACCAAAAAAAAAACAGTATTACTAAAAGTAGAAATTCTATGTATTCATACACCACCTGCACCTGGATAGGGCTGCCACTTCTAAAATGTGGCAACGCGTGATAACCCCGGATTTTGAAGCCCAGAACCCGGACAGACTAATAAAAAAACAGTTATAAAAATGTCACAATTCAAATTTTTTATGTTGATCTAGGCAAAAGAGCTAGCGGTCTACCTCATAATAAGTGGTCACTGCTGCTCATGGACACTTGCAGCACCAAGGGCCACTCATGCGTTGCCGTAAATTTTTAAGCCCGGACTACAAATAAAACCCCGCCCGGACGCTCCCCGGACGCCCCGTAAACTAGGACAAAACCGGGGAAACCCGAACGGATGGCAGCCCTACACCTGGAGCACGCATTATATAATTATTAAGTATTCACAATAAAATAACCTATGTGTATTATAGCCCAAGGGCGCTAAAATGTAATGGAAGTTCCGTTGGGGAATAATTACATTTTTATCACATCTACTTACTCGAAAATAGGTAGGTTCTCTGTTCACAGGGACTAAAATAGTTTTTTTTATCCCTAGGAACTAAAAGTGATTTGAATTAGGAATTTGGATATTGTAAGTTAAAGTTCCAATATACAAAGAGATTAAAATCACGAACATTTTATGAACAACTTCTTCAGACTGTGTAAAAAAACTGCGCGTTTTTTAAATAAAAAAAAGGATTACACATAATTGTTTACTCACTTTCGGATTTTATTTGGTTTTACAAGTATATTTATATATGTTAAAATAAATTATAAACATGGCTTACTCTAAGACCCTAATGAAGTAAACAGAGAGTATATTTTGTTCATTTTTGGCTTTTTAGTGCAGTAAATAAAGCGCAAACTCGATATGTATACATACAGTCCAAGGTTCCATCAGCCACCTTCCAGTCCCATAATTAGACCAGCTCGATGGTACCATAATACTGTATTGTCAGCTAATCTACATATAATTGCAAAGTTTTATTATGTTAAGACGAACCTCATGAGCCCAAACTCGATTTGTTTACTAGTAGGCAGTCCAAGGTTCCATTAGCCGCCTTTCAGCCCCATCATCAGACCACCTCGATGGTACCATAATATTGTATTGTTATCTAATCTACATTTAATTGCCAAGTTTCATGATGATACAAGAATTAGAAGTGCGTGTAGTGATTTCATTACATAGTTACATACAAGTCGACCTAATGAAAGCGTGTTAAAAAAACAAATTAATCCTGGCGATCCTAATTAGGTTAATGAGATAAGCTTATCAAAATATTGTATTGTCGTCGATCGTTGATAAGTCTACAACGTTTAAAGTAAATTTGATCGCTTAAAGTTGGGCAAAATCGAGTCCAAACGAGTCAGTTACATACATACATACAAACAAACAATCATACAGGTGAAACGAATAAAAGCGTGTAAAAAGGAAAAAGAGTTAGTTTTTTAAGATAAAAGGTCGTACTAGCGAAATTACATTTTTTGTTATTTGTAACCTTATTCCATTGTTGTTATTAGGTTTAACTTCAACTGTTTTAAAATATTATCTTTGTTCATTGAGAATCGAATGTAGCTGTATAAGTTTAAACATACGCGGACAGTTTTATCTTTGATTTGATGATGATGCAACCCGTTATCTATAGAATTGTTGATTGAAGAAAATAATTTATTAATTTATTTTTAAGAACACGAAGTAATGCCATCTAGTCTGTCTCGGTGGAAATTTCTTGTGCTTACATATTTAATCTTATAGTTTGCTTTTTATTAACCACATAACGGTATTTACTCGTTCTGTGCAGAGATGGCGCTAAAACACAGAGAGGCATTAGGTTTGTTCAACCGATTTCAAAAAAGAGGTGGAGGGAATTCTTTTTTATAATTTTAATTTCGTAGAATGTTCAGGACAAAATGGTATATTTTTCGTTTATGCCTAAGTTTTCTTTTTTTGGTATTAGAGTAGAATTTGTGTTTAACTCTAAAAATAAAACTGGGCAAAGATCGATTTAGTGCAAGTATCCCTTGTTTCGTTCAGTTCGTTTTCGAAGTGTATGGGTTAAATGATGTTGATATGAAATTACGAGTAGAAGTCATTAATAGACCATTTCACAATTCCATGTTGCCCTTCAAAACCTATACTTATTATATAGTTTATGAGAGGTGGGTTACAGCAGCCTTTCCGGTCGCATTTAAACGTCCAGGCGTTGGGAAACATCTATCTTCATTCGTCTCAGAATACCGCACAAAACTATTTATCATTACTCCATTTGGTCCATTTTGTTATCCGTTTTTCATAACTATCTATGGAAGAAGAATTTTATTAACTTTTTCCTAACTGGGTATGAAATACACCAATAACTGTTCAGTTACTCCGTGATCATGGCGCTTGCAACAGTGCCGAAATACCATAGACTCATAAAAAACAAGGTACATGGTAACAATCCCGTTATTAGCTATAACACCAATAAAGCTAAACGCTAAAATACCCTATTTTTGCTGGCTGGCATACCTTTGTTAAAAATAGTGCTAATAATAATCTCGTACTTTATCGTCTATGTTATCCATCTACGAAAGAACAATTTTTGTACACTTTTTCTTAACTGGTTATAAAATGTCATATTTTCTCTATTTTCCTAACTAGTTTTCTTAACCAATTACGAAAACGAGTAATAATATAATAAAAAATAATTTATTTGGAACAACTTAATTGTATACATGGCGTCCCACGCGGTTGGCACACGGAAGAATTAAAATATTGAAAGTAGGATATTTTACTGAAAGAGGACTACATTTTATTTTTAAAAATGAATAGAACTGCGTTCACTGTTTTAAAAAAATCGCCTGCCTAAACTGGGAGTCAAACTCGTGAAATGTGAAACAAAAAACACATGTATTTTATGATAACCGTCGAAAGGGTTAGATTATGAGGATTATATTTTCCTAAATAACATATCATTTTCCTAAATAATATAACAGTAAACAAGGAAAATCATGATATTTGACTTTTTTTTAAAAATATTGCATACAAACTACAATAAAAAAGAAACGGCGCTAGGTTTGTATAAGTATCGCTTTATTATTATTTTCACGTACTTATAGTAATGAAATCCTGTATTATTAAGTGAGTAGGTACTTGTTAGTAAATACTTTGAAACGATAACATTCGCTGTTGGAAGCACGGAAAAGTAAGAGTAGATTTTCCTGAATTTCACGTGTTTGAGGCGATTTTAAAAAAATCTGTGAATGCATTTCTAGTTATTATTAAAAGTAAAATGATGTCTTTTTTCAGTAAAATATCCTATTTTCAATGTTTAATATACTTTCCCTCTGTGTGATAAGCCCGTGGGACGCCCTGTATACAACGCTTGTACAGTATTTCTTTTCCTTGGTAATCCGAGTGAATGGTGAGAAAATTACAAAACAGACGTCATAAATAATTACTTATTCGATTAAACTATAATATTTAATAAAAGAACTATTTCTATTCATCCGTGTTTTGTTTTTCAAATACATACTGCAATTAGGTACAGACCATATGCACGTGTGTAGTATATTAGTACCTCATCATCATCATCTAAATTAATGCCTATTAATGTCCCCACGGCACAGGCCTTCCGTATGGATGGACTAAGGAGATTGAGCCATGACCCACCACGAGGGCCCAGGCGAATTGGCGGGTGCTAGTTAACGACTGCAGATGCAACCGGGACCAACGGCTTAACGTGCCTTCCAAAGCACGGAGGAACTCGAGGTAGAAGATTTTTGGTCACCCATCCAATGAACAACCACTGCGAAAGTTGCTTAACTTCAACGATTGCAGCCGAACGCGCTAATCACCTGCGCCATCGAACTCCTCTCCTATTAGTACCTATCATAATAAAAAATAGATTAATATAAACTATTGGCTTTCCCTTGTAATTTAAGTGGTAATGCTGCTCAGATATTGCCCTAACCATCTAGCATAGTTTTAACTTTGTGGGGGTCCGCATCCTCAAAAAGTTCTTTAACATCTCGAGACAAAGCTATGCCAATTTAATTTGTCAATTCATTTATTCCTTATTACCATAAAAACAGTAAATGGCGGACTTAATTCCTTCGGAATTCTCTACCACTTAACCAGTAAGGGTTTGGAGATGAAGTGTTACGGCTATAGAATATGAGCTATAAAGTAAGGATTAAATAAAAATAATCTCCTAATTAACTGCAATCACAATGTTCTAAACCATTATTTAAAACACAACATTAAATATCATCATCAGCCTATTAATGTCCCCATTGCTGGGGCACAGACCTCCCTATTCCATCCCTATGGATGGATTGGATTGGGCCGTGATCCACCACACGGGCCCAGTGCGGATTGGCGGGTGTTAATGATTGCAGATGCAGCCGGGAACGGAGGAACTCGAGATAGTAAATTTTTGGTCACCCATCCAATGACCGACCACTGTGAAAGTTGCTTAACTTCAACGATCGCAACCGAAAGCGCTAACCACTTGCGCCAACGAGCTCCTCCCATTAAATTAAATTAAATATGACATTAAATAATTCAATATAATTCGTATAGGCAGGTATTAAATAAACGTTTCACTTTTTTTAAATTTTACACTATGCAGGTTTCATTTCAATTAAGATTAGCCAGAGGTGTGAGGTCAGAGGTATTCAAACCTGTAACTTAAACTGGCAAGTCATTCATGTTGATCCATTAAACATTTATCATATTAATAAACATAACACTATCAATCATCCTCCATAAAAAATCTAACTGCGATTTAAATAATTTAAAATCAAGTGTTACCTATACTGTCTAGTAACCATACAAAAGAAGTTTTATCTTTAACTAGAGGTACTCTGTCATAGTGTCTTGTTTAGTGTTTACAGAATAGAGAGATATTGACAAATTGATTGATATGGCCTAGTCTAGTCTATGGCTAGTCTTTGCAACTTAAGTAATTGAATTAAATATAGCAGCTTAGCGGGCGACCCCGCCCTTGGGAAATCGATTGTATCTGCATATTTTATAGAAATGTCGCAGTATTATAAATTTAAATATAAATCTTTGTAATATATCTCACAAATCAGTCAAGTTACTAGAAAATTACTTATTAATATTTTATTATATGTATTTTTATTGTAGTCTTTAAACTGCTAGAATTATATATGTATCATGATTTATTTATACTGCTGGTCTGGTCAAAAAAATCGTATGTATTATTGTATGGGGATCCCAACAAAGTTTTAAATAAATAAAGTTGAAAATAAAGAAAACAGACATATATTTTCCACGAAACATGATTATTTCTACTTATTTGCTTAATTTAGTTTGAAATTGCTAGGGAGCCCTTCGTTTGCGAGTGTGTTTCGCACTTGGCCGTTTTTTAGTTGGCCCCTAGTCCTAAATATTTGATTATGCCATTATCTATTGCGAGAGGAACTAAACTGGTTAATGATTTCGTTAAATTCGCAATGACTAAGTTAATGTTCGTTCCTTCACACAAAAAGACTGAACAGCCGTACTATTCTGTAAGAAACTCATACTCACTTTTCACCGCGAAAGGACATTGGGCAAAAATGTATGGACGCTGCACCCACGTCCGTCACGGCTTAAAGTACATTTGTTTAAAAGGTATTATAGTCAAGATCATCTGTGCTAAAGCGCATCAAATTCCATCCCGGGGGTCTTTAATTATTTTAAGTTAAATATGTACAAGTACTATAACGAACGAACATTTAGTTAGTTAGTTCGACCCTACATAGTGTGCTCAGGAATTATGGGAGTACTTCACAAGGTGCAAGCGTGCCCCCTTATGTTATTCTGCCGCGCTAGAGTAAATCCAAACATCCCCGCATGGGTTGGGATTTTTTGAACATTCTGTTCGTTATAGTAAATTGTCTTCTATGTAAAACGGAGCGACCACAGATTACACAATCTTGTCCACGCTTCGGAGAACACACGATTCCAGTTTATCCATACTAATTGACAAAACCGATATTCGTGTTCCAATATCCAAAGCGTGTTAGTTAAAAATCAATCAAATAGCAGGGAGCGCACAATCACAACGAAGTAAGACGTGTCGACTATTTGCAACTGCAAGTCCTTCAGCATCCGTAAACCGTTTTGAAATGTCTCAGTAAGAGCAAGCGCAGGATGGTCGGCAGGCTTTGTCGTATATCTGGTTGTATAGTACGATATGGCATATTATTATGATTACTAATAATATAAAATGAAGGTATAATAAAATGAATTTATTCAGCTACTTACATATGCCCATGTATCATATCTATTGACTACCAGGATATTTTTTACGGTGTCATATCTTTTGACTCCCAGGATATTAATTTTCGGTGTCATAATAAAAAAGGCTAGTTTTTCATAGATCTATCGATTCATACTAATTACATTGTTGGTGGAGCTGGGTACGTTTTTGCCCATTGTCCTTTGCCGATGTGATATGAAAGTTGTGTTCTTAATTTAAATCACTCACTTTCAAACTTTCAAACAACTCAAATCACTCACTTTCAAACAAACGATCAAACGTGAGATGAAAAGTGCGTTTGATTTGATCGGAATAACATTTTTTTTTATGGTCCGACAAATGTCTCCACCTTAGCTGATGTTAAGTGACGGTGGAGTCCAGACGTGAAAATAGCTGGTACAGCAGTTCTACCTACCACACAGCCATCCTCACCTTGCCGGCCTGCATATTGCTTCTTCACGCCTCTTTGCCTCTTTTAAGGGATCCCAGGTTGTAAGAAGGAGGGAACACGTGAGAAGGCAGAGTATTCCATTTATGGATAGTGCGACAAAGAAATGAGTCACCAAATTTCTTTATACGCGTTGGAATTGTGACCACAGTTAGACGGTGACACTGAAGGCCAGCGCGTGTGGTCCTCTAAAGGAAAGGGGAAGGTGTAATAAGAGAGAATAACTCCTCAGAACGCTCGCCGTGGTACAGACGATAGAACGCGCTTAGTGACGCCACGGCACGGTGTAATTGAAGAGGCTCGAGGTGTTTAGTCACCTCCTCATCGCCTATGATGCAGATCGCGCGCCGCTGTAACCTATCCAAAGCATCGAGCAAGTACTTGGCGCAGCCATCCCAGAGGTGCGAGCAATATTCTACGCAAAACCGCACCTGCGTCATATACAAAAAGCACAGTTACACGAGCGTGGAAAAACGCCGCACCTTGTTCAGGACTCATTGCTGAGTGAAATTTTAATTTTCATATACATATTTAGAGACAAATATTTTTGTCCTGTCCAGCTGTTTTCCGCTTATTCCTATATCTAAACGGACATGAAACTCTAAACCAAACAGGATAGCAGTAATGGCGCTTTTGTAAACATTTGTTAAACCGCCAAATTAATGTTAAATGAACATTAATAGCCAAAGAATTTGTTAATAGTTTGAAATAAACAAAGGAAAACATATTTTATTTGTGGTTCTGGCAGTTAAATGCGTCAAATGACGATAGGATTTAATTGCATTGTCGTCACTGCATAAAAATAGATGATAAGTATTATTGATATCTAATGGGAAAACAAAAGATATGCCTTGCAGCTTAAGGCTAGGAAAATTTCGGCGCGGCCATCAGGGCCGTGGTAGCATAATTGGTCAGTGCATTCGCTCGGATTGCGAAGGGTGCGGGTTCGAGTCCCGTCCGCTGCCTGGTCCGCGTGGATTTTTTTCTAGTAAAACTTTTCTTTAGATTTAAACATCTAGCAGTTAAATGCTTAAAAATAAATAAAAACATAACTATAATTGCTATTTCTTCTTTCAAATGTTTAATACTTGAAAAAGTATTCATTTGACATTGTGGGTTACCTACAATGCGAAGAGATGGCGCTGCCTTGCAATTTAAGGCTAGGAAAATTTCGACGCGGCCATCAGGGCCGTGCACCGTGGTAGCATAATTGGTCAGTACATTTGCCCGGATTGCGAAGGGTACGGGTTTGAGTTCCGTCCGCTGCCTGGACCGCGTGGATTTTTTTTCTAGTAAAACTTTTCTTTAGATTGAAACATCTAGCAGATAAATGCTTAAAAATAAATAAAAACATAAACAAATGATAGTTTAATTTCAGATTTACCTTTCTAGTGATATAATAGGATAACATAAGTTTTGTTTTTTTTTTATATTTAAAGGGTGGCAAACAAAGTTATTATAGCTCGTCTGATGGCAGTGCCGTCTTTGATCTATTGGAGGCCCTGTGCATATTAGGATAATGGGGCCCCTATGACTTCCGTTTGGTGATTTAACAGGAACTAGGGACTTTGTATTTGATCTGAGGGGACCCCCTATCGATCGCGGGGCCCTGGGCACTTGCCCAAAATGCCCACTGGGAAAGACGGGTATGCCTGATGGTATGCGGCCACCATAGCCTTAAGAGACTCTTGCGATACTTGCCTACTCTGATCCAATCCCAGTGGAGCCCTGGAACTTTAATCACAGACAGTAACACAACACCGTCATAGAAATTTTGACAATGCAATACGATTACGGAGCTGTAAAAAATCGTATTTGGTTGGCCCTCTGTTCGAGTGATCAGTAATTTATTTACCATTGATTGGGTTAGAAAACCTTTTATAAGCAGCTCTTGCACATTGCCTACAACACTTTCTTATTTAAGACCAACACAAATTATATTTGTTTTTTTTTTATTTCGGTAATATTTAATTCTGTTTTAGGTTTTAATCAAATTGTTTGATTGAAACCGTTTGATAAGTTCCAATATGGTATAGTTTTTATATTATGATGGCTACGCAGAAGTCTATACACATAAAGGTTGTCTAAATAAAAGGTTAAATCTAAATAACCAAGTGGGTCTTTTTCTAGCAATATTTTCATTTAATAATTTTGCAGTGATATGCTTAAAAATAAAATAATAACAAACTAAAATGTTATACTCGGGAAATAAATAAATAAGATAAATTGTAGGAATACTTTTAGTTAGGCTTAATATTATGAGTACATAGGTACTATTAATAATGCAAAAGGTAGTTAACTTTTGTTAAATTAAGACATGTAATGTGAAAACGACAGTTGCCTTAACCTTAATGGATGCCAGCGTAATGTATGATATAAAACTATTTAGCGGGGAATAGACGTTCAAACTGCATCAGTGCTCGCGCGCCTTATAGCCTGATAGGTCTCTAATCTATACTTATAATAAATCTTAACTAAATAATATATTGAGAGAAATGTTTCAATTAAAGTGCTTTTTAATAGTTATGTTTAATATTATACTGATGTGCGACAGTTCAACTAAAAAATTACGTGAGTATCGTTTTTATAAATAAATTAAACTGTGTCAGATTTTTTGATAAATTGGTTTGATAGTACTAGATCTTCATTTTAAAGATAATAGAGAAGAATTTTTCATTGAAAGTATTACACAGGGTAGGACACTGCAATTTCCTTGATATAGGTATTCACCTGTTATATATAATGAAAGTATGTATGAAATATAACACCTTCAATACGTGTCGTTTAGTTATATTAATAATAATTCATTGGTGCGATAGAAAGACAAAATTATAGATTCCTACATCGAAGCCTAAATTTATATTAGTTGGGCTAATGGTATAAGCTATTTATTTATTTTTGTTAACAACAATTAGAAGTGACAAGATCCACTAACTCAAATTGACAGATTCAAAATACTACTCATGCGTTATCCTCGCGGAACCGCAAACACACTAACAGCAATTTCTTCCATTCGTTTGCGAAACAAAAGCAGTTCATAACTGCTGCCTAGCTATCTTGGCGTCAGGACTTTACGCGATGCGGTAGAGTTATTTGCCTAACTATAAAAAAAAACACATCGCATTAAGTACTGGCTTTCAGGAGGTCATTGAGAAGTATGGGTGTGTGGGATGACTGATCTTGCACAGGCAACTGTGCGACAAGCTGGGACAGAATTAATAATAATATTTTTTTATACACACTGAAACTGTAATTATTATATTAGGTATAAACACATACAGTCGAAAAGCATACTAAATGCTCAGCTCAGCTATGGACAACATCGTAAGTCACATGATGTTGTTGTCCTGAAATATATAGGAACTTCTCCTTTGTTCACTGCTAGTGTTTCAATATCCGCTTGGGAAAGCTAAAATTTTGATTTCATAAAATCTGTTCCAAAATGTTCTTGAATTAAATGAACGAAGTTACTTCAAGTTAATTAGATTATACAATCAGAATTACTAAATGATGATTAATGAGTTTTTTTTAACAAGATTAAAATAACGGGCTTGACCCTTTGCCACTGCAGTTTTTTAACAACGAGTTCTGCTGTGAAGACCAAACTCACTTTTCACCGCGGAATTCTAATTATTTGAAATTTATTTGAAATACTTACGTGTTCTAAATTTAAATCACACCGCGAATTCCCCGTTGAGAAGTGAGTTTATTATTACAGAAAAGCACTGCTGATTGCCGAATGAGGCATTCTTGAGTTGGGTAGATGTGGTATGATTGCATATTGGTAACCACCCTAAAAGAAATATGCATGTTTAGTAGTAAGTAAGGTGTTTAATTTTAACAACATGCAATTTGCTTTCTTCCTATAATTTGTGACTGACCGAGGACATTTCCGTGCTGTACTCGTATAATTGGATTACAAGAGTATTAACTAAACAACGTGTTTGTGCATTGTTTTTGTAGCAAGTCATTACTTACACTGAATAGATAAATACAGATTTCATGAAGGTTTCATCCAGCTAAGTAATCAGTGTTCGCAAAGTTAGCTGATGTATGCAATTACGACATAAACTGACATAATAGGTTTGCTACTTGATAGCCTGACGTAGTTTAGCCCCCTTATAGTCTGCTCTTTCCGGTTTTTTTACCATATTGCGACAGGAGGGTTTGAAATCTGGCGCTCAGGGCCATTTACGAATTTGAACACCCCCTTACTACATCGTCTTATGGTGCCTCTCCATCTTGTGAAGTTCTTCTAGGCTCTTTTGTTTGGCAAGACTCAGGATAAACGTTTATTTCTTGCTGATATTTTTTTTATATAGCCAGGTAGGCAAATGCCTCTAACCCACCTGATGTTAAGTGGTGATAAAGTCCAAACGCGAAGATAGTTGGTACAGCAGTTATAAACTGCCACGTCAACCATCATCACCTTGCCGGCCTGCAAAAATGCTACTTTACGCCTCTCTTAAAGGACGTCGGATTGTAGGAAGGAGGGAACACGTGCGCGGGGAAAAGAATTCCACTCACGAAAAATATAGCATAGAAATGAGTCACAAAATTTATTTGTTCGTGTAGGAATAGTGGGTAGGTAAGCGCGCGTAGTCCTCTGAAGAAAAGGTGATGGAGGGATAAAAAAGAATAACTCCTCAGAACACTTGCCGTAGTATAGTCTGAAGAATGCGCTTAATGATGCCACATCGCGGCGTTATTGTAGAGACTCGAGATGTTTCTCATCCAAGAACTTTTTTCTACATCTGGCAGGCCTTATGTATAACGGGCAGTTATTATAAGCTCAAAACGATGCTAAAAACTTTTCATAAAATAAATAGCAGCACACGTATATCCACCATTCTTATGAGCCACGTTAACGATTGTGATTTACTTATTATTTCATTCAAGAAAGCGAATCAGTAACTCGATTGCGTTGCGTTCTGTTATAACCCGACTTAGTAACCATAGAATGCTAATTCAACAAAACGTGTATAACTGTAATTTTCCATAGAATTAAACTGCAGAGTTGCATTAACGCAGCCCTCACATTATTCCATCAATTCCCACAGTCAGTTAGACTTTGGCAACGGGAAAGAACGGTCCATCCGGGTAGCTCAGGACTTGGTACTCGAGTTCGCGTGTGTAATTGTGTATATCAAAAATCATTAAATTCATATCCGGGAATTTTGGGTTTTTTTTAAAAAGACGAACAGCGCCGGCCGCCTAACAAATTGGTGTCAGAAGTGGGATTCCGTAAGTGGCTTCCGTTGAAGTCCTGGAATCCAAACCCTAGGCTACTATCGCGTCATCGTCACAGTGGACTGATCGACAGTAAGCCTCAACGCGTTTCTGAGCCTGCATCAGCCACTAACAGCAGAACACAGGGTCGACGGTCAGCCTCCGCTCTGTAGCGTGAGCCCGCACCACCACACCAACTCCGAGTACCTCTCCAGCAAGGTCGACGATCAGTCTCCGCTCTGCAGCGTGAGCCCGCACCTGCCCAGCCGGTCTAACTCACCACACCATCCACATCCATCATCACTCCGTAACTCCAACAACGTGGTTACCAACCACGTGTCGCCACGTGATCGCCACCGCGCCGCGCCGTTGTTCGCCGCGCCAGCTCCCGCGCTAAGTAGCGCGACCTTCCCCAGTCTCCAGCCACGTGTTTTGTGACAAATGCAAGTGAGCGTAGTGTTTCTGTGAGTGTCTAAAGTTTTATTTACTATTTTTGTGCTATTTCTATTTCCTATACAATATTTTACACATAAACTTATATTAGATTCATATTGTAACTTAATTCTATAACATTTATAATATCTTATTTTAATGGAGGCAGATTTAAAATCAGAACTTGCTAAGATGACTAAGAGCTCTGAATCTGGGTCGACCGAGAAGGCAGAAAAAATCACCCTCTCAGTCCTTACTAAATTTATAAAACCTTATAATGGTGATAGGGAATCACTTCCCGCTTTCCTTACAAACTGCGATAATGCTATGTCTTTAGCTACCCCAGAACAGCAAAATGTTCTTTGTAAATTCATAATTTCGCAACTAGAAGGCAAAGCCCAAGTTGCGTGTAGCCTTAAAACTTTTGTTACGTGGAACGAAATTAAAATATTTCTAAGGAGTACATTTGGCGAGAAAAAGCACTCTACACATTTACTTGTCGATCTGCAAAATTGTAAGCAATTACATAATGAAGATGTTACTAAATATTCATTAAGGATAGAAACTATTTTAACTAGAATTTTATCTGATATACATTATAGTTGCAAGGATCGGAATGAGCTTCCTGGCAGGATTGCCGCCATGGAGGACCTTGCTCTTAATACTTTCATGTTAGGGTTATGTAGTTCAATATCGAATATAGTCAGATGTAGAAATCCCTCAACGTTAAATGAGGCGGTACAACATGCTATTGAGGAGGAGAAATTATTTAATTTATCGAAATCTAGTTTCACCAAATCTTATAAACAGTGCTCCATATGCAATAAAACAGGGCACAGTTCATCTGAATGTTATCATAAGCATAAAAAGTCTCCCAAAAATACATCTCAGTTCCACAGATCTTATCACGTTCCTTATAATTCTAATAATGTAAAATGTAATTATTGTAAGAATATAGGTCACACGCTAGAACAATGCCGTAAGCGGCAGTATAACATGCAGCGTCGCGAAAACGCTAACCCAGCGCAACGTGACTATCATTCGCCGCGTGCAACTACCAGTAGTGACGCGAGGTTGCATATTACGCAAGAGTCCGGGTTCGATTCCCGCGACAATAATTTAAACTAAATAAGATTTCGGTGCCGTGTCTGCCGAAATCAAAATTTCTATTGAATAACACGAAAAATAATTCTATATCTTCTAAATCTACTAAATCTTGTAATTCTAAATCTTATACATCTCTGCAGGGACAGCCTCAGAGTCTATTTACATCCCGAGACATGAGCTCGAGTGATGTCACATCTCAGCCTCAATCTCCTAAATCTTTTACTAATTCTAACAAGCTGAGTCCTACTATATCTTATAATCGTAAAAAGTTAACCAATAACGTAAATAACACTGATTCTTGTGATGATAATAACTCATTATCTATTTATGAAACTACTATAAATATTAAGAAAATATCGTTGCCTCATATAATTTTAAATTCGAGTTACTCTACGGAACACTTATCGTTTCTCGTAGATACAGGTGCAAGCATAAGTTTAATAAAGCAATCGAGTATAAATAAGACGCCTGATTTATCTCATAAAATAATCAAAATAAAAGGGATTAATAACACAGAATCTTGTTCTGTAACTCTAGGCACATTCGAAATGGATTTTATATTATCTGATAATATATTGTCTTATCAATTACATCTCGTTAACGATGACGTCAACTTAGATTATGACGGCATCATAGGCAGTGATTTTCTAAGCTATCATAACGTTGTTATTAATTATAATTCTAAAATATTATATTTAGGCGGAGATATTCTAAGTTTAAACTTTGTTCAGCCTACATACATTGTTCCCGCGCGCTCCGAAGCCGTAATCGAATGCGCGATATCTAATTACGAGCCCGAGTGT